AGTGTCTTATTGCCAGCCTTCCTCCACTGACTTATGATTCTGTCTGACAATTCTATGGCAGTAGATAACCTTTGTGTTCCAGTCATCAAATGTGTTTGTAGAAGAGAAAAAAAAATTGTCCCTAAAGTCTGCAACCTATTCCATCTCTTCTTCCAGTGAGACTTTTCACTGTCATTTATGTAGTTGTCACTGATCAAGCTGCATTTTGCCTGCCCCTTCTCCAGTATACACTCACATTTAGAGTATGATAAACACTCCCTGTAAGACACGCCAGCAAGTTGTGTGTATCAGTTTTCCCAAGTGCATCTAAATAATAATTGTACAGACCAGGGCACAAGTAGGCTACTGTGAGAAACCAGATAATAAATGAAGTAAAACATTTTACAGAATGACTAGCACAATGACTGCAGTGTGGTTTTCATGCCTAATATGTTCCAGATGATCTCAACGACATTCAATAAACTGCCATCATCACTCTGACATTCTGCATAACTCACTGCAAGGAAGCACAATTAATAGTTTGAACTCCTTCTGTAATGTGCACCTTTACTTCTTGCACGGAGATGGGACAAGCAGCATACAGACATGTGACACACCCATGGGGGCTGTCAAGTCCAGGGAAGGTGGTGGCAAAGGAATGTTTCCAAATCAAGAAATTAAGTGATCTAAAAACATTCACCTAAGAAAAGTCATGCTGTCTTGCTGTGTTGTCCACTGCACCAGCCTGATGAAACCATCTTGTCACGTGTATGAGTGACCATAAATCCGGTCTTGATTAGTAATTAAGACTTAATGGACTCTTACAGAACATAACTATACGTAACTACAGCACAACCGCTAATTCACACACTCTACTACTCACTACAGTATGCAAGTCTTTTCAGTGTGCTATGTCTTCACCAGTCATTGTCTGATAACAGCTTCCAATGATGGATGTCCCCCTTATTCTGGCTTCCTGAACTGTTCCCATGCTTCACCTATCAGCTTCTAACAGCAACAGTTCAAAAGAACTGAATGGCAGCAGTCCCCTAACTAACTAACTCATTCACTCACTCACAAACCAGCTTGCTCCACAGCACTGCACTAACCTAAAAACCAAATCTTCAAAGACTGACTGACTGAACTCGGTCAGTCACATGATATAGCCTCAGAGAGGACCACACAGAAAATGCTGTTTCCAACAGAACTTCCATTGCTGCGCATGAACCACTGCCTAGCAACAGCCATTGTCTCATTGTTTATTTCATGGTCATTGCTTAGCAACAGACCCATATGCCACATTGCTCCCTCTTTAACCCTACTGGCTTATCACCATTTATTCTTTCCAAGGATTGTGCTTGTGACATCAGTTACCGGTCTCACATTCCTTCCCTGCAGCTCGTTACTTATGGTGATTACTCTCCAAATGTTCCTGCTGCTCCCTCCTTAAGGCCACTGATCCCAACCAGCTCCCTGATAAGGTTGTGAGCCAGTCCAGGTGTACCTCCATCAACCTTGATCTAGACTTTCGCTGGATCCTGCAGACCACGTCATTTATCTGGGTGACTACTTTCTACGGGCCCTCCCATAAGGATTGGAGCCTGAGCGATTTCCCCTTCATGCAGGTTGGGCAATAGAGATACACTCTGTTCTTGTTTGCCAGTCTGTTATAAAGAGTTCACATCCTGTCACTGGCCAGCTTCAGGTGTTGGCAGGCATAACTGTAGCTGTCATGTAGATGGTCCAGTAATTTTGCTGTGTGATCAACTGTGGGTCATTCCTTGTTGGGAGGTGCCCTAAACAGCAGATTGCAGAACAATCTAATGTCTTGAGTGGATGTCCTGTAAGCAAGGAGGAAGATGCATAATCTTGTGTCCTGATCTGCAGAACAGCAGTCCTCTACCTAACTCACTCACCAACCAGCTAGCTCCACTGCACTGCACTAACTCACCAACCAACTCTTCACAGACTGAGCTCAGCCAGTCGCATGATACAGCCGTGCGGTGGATCTCATAGAAAACGCCAATTCCAACAGTACTTCCATTGTGGTGGCCGGGCCGCTGACTAGCAATGGTGGTTGTCACATTATTTGTTTCGCAGTTATTGCTCAGCAACAGGTCTATATGCCACACTATATTTCTCACCCTTTGCCTCAGCCTTCGCAGTTCCGGCCCGATTACATCAGATGTAGAAACCCCATGCAAAATGGTTATTTTTTTCACTATGGGAAAGTTTCTCATGGATCTGCATAGGATTTTTATCACTCCAATACACGAAATCCTATTTGTTTACATAACCAGACAAGTGAAAGCAGGACTCCTGTGACATGAGCAAAACATCCAAAATCCCTTCATCAATACCCACAAAGTCCAAGAACTGTCCCCAGATATTAACATGAGGAGCTTTATCCTGTTCTTTCAGTTCATGGATTATGTGAATTTTGTATGGATGAAATCTCATGTCTTCCTGCAAAATTCTTTAAACGGTCATGATTGACATCCGTACAATCACCATTCGCTGCCTTGCTCAGCATGTTGGACTCTGATAAATTACCACTCTCACTTGGTCGATGTTCTCTGGTGTGTGAACAGAACATACAAGGCCAACAAACTTAATCACAATATCACAAACACTGAAATAATCAATCCACTTTAAAACAGAATTATGTAAAGGTATTCATTCTGCCATGCTTTTGGAACATTGAACTCATGCCAAAAATGTTTCTGCATTTACATAATAAGCATAGCTTCAAAACAGGTTCTCACAGCAAAAACCTGATGATTCACTGTCCACTTCTCCACACCAACTAACCTTCATACAAAGATGTATCGGAGTGTGCAACATTCGCTTTCCCCATTCCAAACAGTTGCCCAGAGCAGCAATGTGAAATCACACTTAAAGCTTTCTGATGATGGTGTGACAAGTTGTTTCAAACTATTATTCTGGACTGTGTCCCACTGTTCAGGTTTATTAAAACCATTACATTTTGGAAACTGGTTATAACTCCTTCTTCAGGTGAACACAATATGAAAGAAAACTTACTCTGTTGTGCCTGCATCATGTACTTATCTGTTTGATTGGTGGAACAAGTTTTGCAAAGGTCATGAAGAAATCACTAACCATCACATGCTCACATTCAGACAACAGCTGTCACAGATGTGAACAGTCATGTCACATATCTGTTTTTCAAACGCATGCAAAAGTTACAGTGCATGATCCTACATCTAAAACATGCATAAATATTAGAAATGTAAAAGCAATTATACCAGAACGCTAATTTTTCAAGGAAGTGAGGCAAGGTGTGCTCCAAAGATGTTAATGTTCAACCAAAAGGCACAGCTGAAAATTTACACCAGTTTCAAATGGAGGGACACAACATTCCTGCAGTGAACTTGTGACAAGATGCTGGTGCATTATTTCACTCCAGAATCAAAGTGGTCCAGCACAGAATGGTGCCACCACCCAAAATATTCAAGATAAAGCCATCAGCTAGCAAGATCGTCTTTATGGGATTCAAAACTGGTGATTCATTTTGACTTTTTGCCATATAATGCACAATTAATGCGCAGTGTTACAACAACTTGCTTCACAATGCTGCCTTGCTTACCAATCTATAAGAAAAGGCTTGCAAAACTGTCATAAAACATCATATTGCACGACAATATGCATTCACATAGAGCAAATTTGACAATGACAATATTGGCAACCTTGCACTGAGAAATCATGAACACAGCTGTGAACTCAAGCACACTGTGCCTGAACTGGCTATGTGGTCAGGTTACATCTTTCTATGCTGATGAAATCAGTGCCCTGAGACAGCAATGACAAAAGTGTACCAGTGGAGAGAGAAAATAGCTTCTCGCATGTATGAGTCTTCTTTGGGGGGGGGTTGATCAATCATTAACATCACAAGACTATACATTTCAGTGCACCTATTCAAGATTCTTGTGGTTCTCTACCCTGTATCTTCCCCCCACCCACACTCCTGCAGTCCTCCCCCAACTACAAGAAAATGTGTAAACCTTTACATGCTTATCATTTTGTAAGTTAATCACTTTGGAGATTTTGGCAATTTAATTTTTACTTGGTCAGGTAACAAACCCAATGCATAACAAAATATCAGAAAAACAAAGAGAGAAATAGTATGCACACACAGGATGTAAGAACAAAAGAACAGGATTACAAATTCAGAAATCAAACACAAACCACACAGAAGATGACCATACACTGTGGAAGTGGAGATGTAATGAGGAGGAGGAGGAGGAGAGGAAACTGAATATAATTTCCTTCTCTCGTACAATACAATGGCTGCTGTTTCTTCACAACTTCTTTGGATGGTCCACCTTCACCCCACAAACATAAGCACATGAACAAATGCTTAATCTCAGCTTTCATTCTGATCCATTCAGATCTCGCTATCTCAAAGTTCATAAAACCATGCACACGTGATAATACTGACAGAATGATGTGGAAAGGATGTATCTGGAATCAGATATTTTCAATCCAATAATGACCTGCCCAAGTCTATAATTCACAGCAAGACAGCATAACTGGAAATTGTATACAACAGTGGATAAAATTCCAATGCCATAGGTAATACACGTTGGCTCAAAATAAAGGGGCATTTTAACACTGTGATAATGTGACACTTGGCTATTCTGAGCACATGTTCCATCACAACAGTGTCACACAACCAAAAGAGGAAAATGGCCTATAATGTGGCTTTCAGCAACCTAAACAAATGAACAAAGTCAAGAAAATCATGCCTTCAAATGTATCATATTTTCTGAAACAGATGATACTGATTCCAAAATGCTGAATATCATACAGCACCATCTGTTGGGGGAAAGCAATGAAAATGAATGAATGTTTACTTTAATCTTTCAACTAAAAACTATTTGTGGATATTGCATGCTAGAAGAAAATTCCAAAATGCAACATGCCAAAAAACATCCCAGGATTAATATTACCCAACACCAGACACAAAGCCCCAAAATATGAACATGAATGATCATTGTGACCTGCAGGAACACTGTGAAGCCCTCTTTCCATATTCAACCCAGCGTGGTGTTGCAAAGTTTGTAGATTCTGCACAGTTGAATCCATGATTGAATCCTGCATGGTACCCATATGGAAAAGTGATCATGATCTCACCTGCCTCTTGTGTGATCTGAGTACAAAAACAAAATGGACCTTTAAAGCATCCAGAGTTAACACATTCACTGCCATTCACCCATACTGAGAATTTACCTGCTAAGCCAGATATATTTCATCCAAAACAGTAATGTAACAGAGTAAGTTATGATCGCTGCATTCGATTTTTTTCAAACTTTAACCAACTACACTTAAACCTTCTCTGCATTTAAGACATCTGTGAATTGATCATATCACCACTGGTTCATGGTAAACTTCAACCTGTAAGGCTTGACAGAGAATGTGAAAAGAAAATATTACAAACCTTATGAACTGTTACCATGTGAAGACAAAATTTATGGGTAGCAGAATACTAAAGGTGGAATCCTTGGTTGAACTACACAGTAGCTCCAACTACAGTGACACCCTCTTACGATTAAAGAGTACAATCTTCTGGGATGTATCAAGTCCAGAAGAAGATCACCAGCATTTCAAAGGAATGCGCTATCTCCATATTCAGGGTTGAAGAGTAAATCAAGCAAGTATCACAGCATTAAATAAGAAAAGATAGGACTCTTCACAGTCACCACTGTGTGAACCTCAAATCCAGCCATCTTTAAGATATTATTAAGAAAAACTACAATTTGGATTATTAAACAGGAATAATTCACAAAGGATTAGCCCTAAAAAGTATTTAAAAAATAATCATTTTACATAAGGAATTTCTTAATTTAAATGAGTTTCATTTTATGTATTATACAAAATAATGGTAATTACACCCTGTATCAGTGGTGTGCATGCTGAGATCAAGCAAAACACTCTTAAGCAAAATCACATTATGCTTCAACCCAATCATGTGTACAACCAGGCAATCTGCAAAGTGCCCATCTGCCATATTGGGCTCCCTTATTTCAAAACCAATTTTAATGTCCAATAAACTCTTTGTTGGGATGCACATCTGTCCCATATATATGGTGCTTGCATATTATATACAAATCCCTACACAAATCATCAGTATAGATCAAATACTTTGGTCATTCCTTCCTCTCTCAATGCACTGCCTCAAAACCCTTCTCAAACGCCCATTACCAGCAATGCCCTCAATGTATTTCAACAAACTGTTTCTTTCCAACAGTAACACATTCACTGTTACATCATTTCGCAGAAATATCCTAACTGATTTCAACAATCTTTTCCTTAGATAAATTCCCATTCACTGCTAACCGCTTCACTTTCTCATCATTTTCCTACAATAATGAAAGTTTTAAGACCAAAGAAATTAAAAAAATGCACTTTCATGGCCCAGTGAATGAAGACAAACGATGAAGTGAAATGAGAAGACTGTTTCTTTCTTTTGGCTAAAGGAGAATATAACACTACATGATAATGGATTAGTTACTATAGGATTCTGACGATGGTGTATAACACTGGAGTCCAGTGATTGAGGCTAGCTCTTTCTAAAGGACCCAACAGAATAGGTGTTTTCCCTCACCTGAGGACGGAAACAGATCCAGTGTCTGAAACGTCATGTTTTTCTTAGTTATATTAAAACCAGGACGATGGATAAAGTCCGAAAGCCCAGTGTCTCTAAATGATAATGGATGCTTGTTCAACTTAAGTTGAATATCGCAGCAATAGGGTCAAAGTCCAATATACTGAAGTTCATCAGTTACAAGATTAATTCATATATCTTTAACATAAAACAAACTTTCACACACCCACTCCCAACAATGACTTCTTTCATTCACTCCAAGAAACCTTTTTCTTTCTGACAATATGTAACCACTCACTTCTATAACCCATTCCCAACAAGGTCCTGTTTTATTTCAACAATACTTTTCTGTCAGAAGACAATTTCCATACATTATTAAATTTGATCTATTGCAATTCTTCTGTTACAAGTCCACTGTACGTACATATAATGAGGCACAGTTCAGATATTTGGAAATAACTATAACAAATTAAAACCTGATTCAGGAGGAAATTAAGAGGAGATTGAACTCGGGTAACGATTGCTACCATTCAGTCCAGAACCTTTTGTCTTCTTGTCTGAGTCGAAACACATAAAAATTAGAATCTACAAAACTATAATTTTGCCTGTGATTCTGCATGGGTGTGAAACTTATTCTCTGACATTAAGGGAGGAACATAGACTGAAGGTGTGTGAGAACAGGGTGCTGAAGATATTTTGACTGAAGAGAGATGAAGAGAGATAAAGAGACAGGATGTTGTAGAAAAGTGCATAATGAGGAGCACTAAACACTATGCCATGAAGACATAACGGGGGAGTGGATGTATAGATCCATGTTTTCTTGACCTCAGCACTACTTGGAGGTGATCTGTCAGCTTCAAACCCCAGCCGCTTTAACCCAGTGAAAGGCGATAATTTTCTTAAACAGGTTCCCTTTTGTAGGAGGATCCCCACCCACACATACACACGCCATGTATGTAATTACTCTCTCTCCTCTTCCCTTCAGCTCCTACTCAGTAACAGCACTGTGTATGTCAATTTAACAGTTAGGAGCACATAATGCAACCACCAGTTATGTCCTGTTCCCCCTGACGTCTGAATACTATGTCAGTACATTATTCTGTCAGCTCACTGCCACTACACTGTATATGAAACATACATACATGTATAAATTAAGGAGTTCTATGGTAATAGAGCCCAAATGTTCAGCACTGCTAATAACAATGCATACCTCTAATACCATTTAAAGCTAGTAAAACCTACCTTCCATCATCAGGAAACATGGAACAGAATGAACACAGGACTGAATTATAATAAAAGGCTTTATTATAGCCTGAATTCAGAAACAGATCACGTGTTTCTAATTACTAAAATATTTTCCATAAACCTTAGTTCTATTAATATTTGACATAATTATAAATACATGCAATTTAAACAAACCTTATTGAAGGGAATGTAATACTTCTTCATCACTTGTGGAGAGATGAGCGACATCTTGTGACGGAGAAATGCTGGACATATTTTTGATGCCTCTGGAAAGAATCCATTTGCTAGCCGTTCAAAGCGACGACCATGTTCAGGAGGAATAGCATACCAGGTCTTTGGTGCACCAAAATGCAAGTAATTGATACTGTACAAATCCATGTCCTCTGTGTGCCAAGCAAATGTTGTTTTCCACATTCCAAAATATAGGTATGCTGTATTTACACCATCTATGCTGATACCATAATCTTCATTCACATAATCTAAAATCGTCCCCAGGTGGTTGATGTTCCAAATCTGAAAATATACAATTTACCTAAAATCATCTCCAGGTGGTCGATGTTACCAACCTGAAACTATACAAGCATAAGTACATGCTTCACCTGGGATACAATAGCCTTACTTCTCAATATCACAAAATATAAGGGTCAACTTAAAACTAATGCCTCCAACTGTGTCCCCACTCATGTGATGTTACATATAAAGGTAACAGTGTGGGGTGAAAATTTAAACCTTCCTGCAAATATGCTGCAAGTTTCAACACTGCACGCCAAGTGGCGGGCTGTAGTAGTGTAATTGTATGAAGATGGCAGGCAACACTTATGTGTGCACAAGTTCCTCACTGCAGAACACATTTCATCCATTGAGATTCAATGATATCTGAAGTATGTTCATGCGAATATGAGCACAGTTAGGTGGTGGGCTAAGTGAGTCAGTGATGGTGTAGTGCGTCAAAGGAAATATCAAGGTCAGATCATCCTTGCATTGCAGCAACAAAGGAAAATGAGAAAGTGGATCAAATGATTGAGCAGAGAATGCAGGCTTGTGCAGGCCTTCAGGAGAAGTATGAGATCACAGGTGACAACAGTCATCACAGATGAGACCTGAGTACACCATTTCAAACCTGAGTCAAATTGGCAGTATCTGGAGTAGGGACACAATTCGCCAACAGTGAAGAAATCCAAGGTTCATCCACCTGCTGGAAAAAATTATGTGTTCCGTCTTTGGGATAAATGAGGGGTAATCACAGAACAGGGCAACATGATCAATTCTGCTCACCATGTGGAGACAACGAAAAGATGAAAACACAAAATGCAAGAGTATTGCCAGAGATGAAAGGAAAATGTTTCCTACAACACAAAAATTCGAGGCCCCATATCAGCATCCTGACAAGGGTCTGTTCTGCAAAACATACTGTACGCTGTATCTTGTGCCATCAGACTTCACCTGTCTCGTGCAATGAAGGATGGCCTTCACAGGAAAACACTTCACTGCTGCTGCTGTTGATGATGATGATGATGATGAAACCACTGTGGCTGCCAAAAAGTGGCTCTTTGAGGCTGACAGTACATTTTTCACTGGGGAGAGGGGAGGGGTTATGGGCTTTGGTTCAGCAATGGAAAAAATATATAAAAGGGATCATATGCAGAAAAATAACTGAAAGTACTTAAGAGACTTAAAGTACATGACACAATAAACTCCATGGCCTGTAGTCTGCAAGCGAACTATACCAACCAAGCAACTGCCACTTGTCAGCGAAGTTAGTGCCAACTTTAGCGGATAGAGGGTGTCACGTGGTCGGTGGAACAGATCCCATGGTCATTAATCCTGGTTTTCTAGACCAGAGCTGCTATTTCCTTGAAATAGCTCCCAATTATCCTCACAAGGCTGAGTGGACCCTGTTCCAGAGCCACTACTTCTCAGAAAATCTGGTATCACCAGGAATCGAACCCAGGACCTCTGGATCTGTAGCCAGGAACTCTGACCACTAGACCACAGACGGCTGAAGTACATGACACACAAGTTTCATTTACATTCCTACAGTGGTATCCAAAAGAACAACTATTGGCACTAGTTTCAGAGTGATCCTTGTATATAAGGTAAATGGTAAAGTTGTCCTTATGCTTAACTAATTAAGCACTATACCATGAACGAGTATGGAGGAGTGGATGTACAGATGCATTTTCTTGACCTCGATACTAGTAGGAGGTGAGTGATCAGCTTCACACCCCTGCCACTTTACCCCTGTGGTAAGAGCCCCTGGTACCCATTAGAGAGGAGGTTGGGTGGGCCACAGAGCCAGTCTGGATGACACAAAGAAGAAAAAATTCTTTGCCCTACTAGGACTCAAACTCCAACCCCTCAGTCATTAAACCCGTAGCCAGTCACTATACCACCTACACTAACCTGGCTCCTCTTGTATATAAGGTCTGACAAATAAGGTGACTCTACTCACATGCAGCACTATATTAAATTTTATTCTGAACTGCAGTGGTCTATTTTTCCTTCATGCCACTATACACAAATTCAAGACTGTTTCCATCTGTCAAATCACTTCCAGAAGTCATTCTCCAGCAAGTTATTGTCACAAATTTATGGTCATAGCCACTTAGGACACCAAAATGTCATGTATTCAGGGTTTGTGTGATGAATAATAATGGGTTCTGGATTTGATGATTGGGTTCATTTTTATTTCTTTAAAATTACAATCAATTATAGCAGCTCATAGTCAACAGCTTCCTAAGACTCACTCCATTCCTTACTGGACTATGTGCGTCTCCGCTTCCACTGTGATGAATGATGAACGAAGAACCTCTCCCAAATGAATCCTGCTAAGTGTTCTCAAGTGTCCTCTCTTTATAACTCTGTCAGAACCAAATACAGATCACATTTCCAACAGTTAACACTACTGAGTGCTTATTCGCTGTAACAGAAATGTGTGTTGTGACTTGCCACCTAGAAACAGAGGTACGTCCTCTGTTCACTATGTAACCTTTAAACATGTTTACTGGCGTGTTGTCTAGCAATGGTTTATTCTGTCACATTATTCAGAATGGCTGTTGTAACTTCTGCACCTCGTCCACAATTTAAAAACCCCGTGAGATGTTTTTTATCGTAAGGATGAGGAAGGAGTCACATGGAGTGAGAAATGATAAATGACGTTTCCAAGATTGCCAAAAACGCCTTGCTGAAAAGCACTGTGTATGAGGGCACATTGCCATGAACGTTCTTCAGCACCAGATTTTCTGTCAAAATCAACTATAGTCTTCTACAATTATTCTGACTGTAAGATTGTGATCATTCTGCACCCGAGTTCTCACTTTTTCAATATCTTCATTCAATTTTGACATTTCACGTTCTGCATCTTTATAACAAACACTTCATTGGTGTAGCTTCATGCTGCTATTCGGTTTCGATGTTGCAAGTTCATTCTTGTGGAAGAGAAAATGTTGATAATCTCTTTTCACCTTGTCTCTAAACACTGTTTCATACAATGTTTGATGGACGACCTCAGAAAATGATGTATATTCTCATTTAAGCCCCTCAAACCACTGACTGTGCTGTTGGTTTGCATCCAAGCAATCAGCAGATCTTCACTGCCCTTCCCACAAAGCCCTCAGTTCGGCTACAAAACGGCTCCTCAAGCACAATTTTACACTGTCTCAAGCTGAACACAATTCAGACATAATTTGGTTGACAAACTTCCTTCCATTGTCCAATATAATACATCCCCCAAAAGTAAAAAAATGTATCAAGCAAGCGTTACACAATATCCTTTATATTCTCAATTTTTAATGATTGTAGTTTGATGAATTTTGTTAATGACAATAATAAACAGCAATCAGATAAACGTATTAACTCTACAGGATTGGATGTCAGGTCAATTTGATATACTGAAATTAATTCTGAGAAAATTGGGTTCTACAACACCTGCCTTAGGTGCAATTTGTTTCACCTGCTTTAACAGACCCAGCTTCACACATATTTCTATAATTATACTAGGGTTCTTGAATCACAAGGTTCTTCCAAACATGTCCTGTCAGGGTGGGAATTTCGATCAGTATCCAGTACATTTCATCATTTCCATATAACACTGGATGTTTGCTTCACCTGCTTCCTAGGGCAAAATTATTTTATTCTCATCCAGTACTTTAGTGTTTTAAATGCTACTAATAAGTGCATTTTTTGATAGTAACTTTTGTTCTGCAATTATCAAATTTAAATACTTTTCTTTACCTTATGACAAAACCTCCTCACCTGGCAAAGACTAAAAACATGAATTTCTCACCAAACTGATCATGGCACATGTCATCTTCCAACAGTGTCACTGTAAATGTGACTAACATCCACCGGTATATTACTAAAGAGGGGCATGTGTGGAGAATGAACCAACTATATCTCCATTCTGCTACACCTCCTGACCACGCATGGGAGTTGATATTGGCCAGTGTATATCCACAGACACATAGACACATAATACAATTTGGAAAATTTATCAACAAATTGTTGAATGTCAACAACCACCTGCATTTGTCGACATTCAGTTAAATCTGAACATTCACAGTGACATATGTTACAATAGCTATATATACCTAGATGGCATGGTCTACCTCTCAATAAGAGTACCAATTCTATTTTACCTCAATTTCAAAAGAATACTCACATTAACATCTTGATCTGTTAGAGAACCTGACACATCGGCACCATAGATAGGTGATCCATACATAATTTTCTTCCAGTACGTGCGTTCCAAATCCTCATAATCAAAGTGATTTGGTGTCTTGTATCTGTGAAAGTAAGCCTGTTGTAAATACATGAAATTCAAAGAATTTACATAACTTTTACATAAGAGGTTTTCAAGACAGTGAAAATTTGGATTCTGATCTTATGAGTTATTACATGGTACACANGGCACATCATGGATCAGAAGGGGCATCAGGACACAGCTTTGGGACACCTTTGTGGTCCTGCTGGGTTAATGCCAGTCTTGGGGTCTGGATCAGTATGACAACCTGGAACTGGCAGATATGGTCCCATAAGGGCAATGGTGTCTTACAACTGGAGCCTCCTGTGTGGCAGCATTACGACTTCCAGGTATTACTACGGTCTACCTGGGACAAGTGCAGAAGAGCACTCATATGGAGGTAACTTCGGTTACTTAAATTGTCTCCTTAGAATACTGTTAAAGTGCTGCAAGCCTCTGGGCTCAACACTCTAAAACAGATTAACCAACCCACATGGAGGGGTGGGAATGTGGGGTGGCTTGTCATGCCCAAGGGCAATCATTTCATGCAACTTACTCTGGTCGTAACCACATGGCTAGTTACTACTGCATTCTCACTGGACATCTGGGATACACCTTCCTCCTGAACATGCACTTTAGCTCCTGGAGGCTCAAGAGAGTTTATTCTCAACAAACCAAACCACCTAAGCCAAAGTATGAGGCATCGTGCCGAGGGCTGTGTAGCATAAAAATACTGTGGTTGTATCAGTGGAGAATTAAAAAAGTGAAAACAAACCAGAGTAACTCAAATTAAATTGATTCCTTATCACTTGAACTGTTAAAAAAGTAAAGTATCCCTGTAACAGGCCATGGAGCCCCATAGGGTTGTGAGATGTTGGGGTTCCCACATTTTCTAGACAGTCGGCTCATAGATGGCTGTAAGGTTGTCAGTCTTATGCGCTGGCCACCCTTTACCCCCAAGAATATTCCTGATACTCATTTCTGTTAGAGGATGAGTTGACCCCAGGGCCATAGTGCGGCTGGAAGGATTAGGTAACTTGAAAAATATCCAATGACCTCATCAGGATTCGATCCCGCAACCTTCCAGCTTGCAGCATAGTGCCTCAATCAACTATGCTACCACATACAAAATTGATTTGTTTCTCATGCTTTTTTCTGTGTCACATCAGTATCAGCTGTGCTCTCTGTAACAATTATTTTTGCGAGTATACGGATTTAATATTCTTAGCATCTATTGTTCTTGACAAAGTATATGCTGTTAGATTATGTTACACAATGTGAAAATTCTGAATGCTTGATTAGTAACTAGCCATGGTTTGTGAAAGATCATTATATACTTATACACAGAGTTCTCTGTGTTTACCTCTAGACCAGCCTCCTTACTAATATCAATCAGAGCATGTTTTTCTTTACGGTGTTTACGTAATCTCCCAACAGATTTACATCATCAAAATAGACCCAAAGCTGATGTGTCCCATTCAACTTCATTCCCACCTGATTTCCTTGGACCTTCCTAATGGCACATTCTAAAGCAAAGCTAAGAATACTGGTGATAAAGCATCTCCTTGTCTTAGACTATTCTGAACAGACAAATACTTACCTATAGGGACTTTAATATAGGTTTCATTTGAACATATTTTAGTAAGTCTAATTAATTTCATGGTACTCCAAATTCAATGAGAATATCAATCACAATGTTTGGTATGAACATTATGCCACCACTAGCCACCTGAGCCCTGTGCATTTTAATTTCCAAAATCAGTAATAATATGTACGTAGGTGAGTCAAATGCAAACTGTAAAACTGAGATAAAAATCTGAAATATCACACCACTGGCCTGTAAGTTGGCATACATGTTACCAATGCTATAGAGCATCCAGTAGGTGGCAGTATAATGCAGACAAACAGAACGCCATCACAGTGCCGGTTTAAAGATGGCTACTCCACTACGTACATGCACGAAAGAAGAAAAATGTTCTGTAATTCATCTTTTGATCAGTGACAGTGTGAAACTGATTGAAGTTCATCAACGGATGAAGGTTCAGTAAGGTGATGCATGCCTGTCACAGTAGCAAGTGTATGAGCGGAGTAGGAAATTCAGAAATGGTGTGACGTCTGTGGCAGATGCTCCTCGCCCGGGTCAGGTGCACAGAGTTGTGACCCCTGAGTCTACTGCAGCAGTGGAAGCCCTAGTGATGGAGAATTGCTGAGTGCCAGTGGATGAAATAGCCGAAATTCTTAACACGAGCGACAGATCAGCACACCATGTCATTCATGATGTGCTCCAGTTTCACAAAGTGTCTGCAAGGGGGGTGCCACAGCAGCTGACTCCAGAATTGAAACGACGTGTTGACACCTGTGAAGAATTTCTGTGGCGCCTTGCAGCAGAAGGTGATGGCTTCCTTTAGAGAATTGTTACTGGTGATGGAACTTGGGTGCACTACCACCAACCAGAAACAAAGAGAACAAGCAAGGAATAGCACCAAAACCCAAGAAGTTCCGGACACAGCCATCTGCAGGGAAGATTATGCTGACTCTCTTTTGAGACAAGCGAGGTGTACTCTTGGAGCACAGCATACCTTGGGGGAACATTATCACCAGTGCCTCATATTCAGACTTTTTGAAGAATCATCTTTGACCTGCAGTCAGATCAAAGCAACGTGGACTTTTAACTAGAGGTGTCCTTTTCCAACATGACAATGGTCGGCCCCATACTGCCTCTGCAACAGTTGCAACAATCCAAGACTTGCACTTTGAGTGTCTTCCACATCCGCCATACTCACCAGACCTAGCCCCAAGTGATTACCACATGTTTGGGCCACTCAAAGAGGCGATGGGAGGAAAGAAGTTCCGTTCTGATGAAGAGCAGGCTGTGCATGAGTGATTGCGCAGACAACCACAATAATTTTTTTCTAGATTAATCCTTTGTAAACGCTGGAGGGTCTGTACTGAACGAAATGGAGACTATGTAGAAAAATGATATAGTTGGCACCACTTTCATTCAATAAATTAAATTTAACACAATTTTTACGATTTTCATTTGACTCACCCTCGTATATGAATGCGATGTTGGCACAAAACTTCATAAGGGCCTTGAAAGGATGCCTGGTAACAGACCTAAAAACATGTAACTTACATCTGGTAATTCTTGGTGGCTGAAGAGAAAACTATATTTAGTTGATGGTTTAATGGCAATAACTAATACACCAATGGAGGCAGGCATCTGGCACTTGGTATGGAGATACATCATAAACATACCTATAAATTATGTATAAAATATCATTTATGAGTCAGTCCAACAAATTTAATGTAGGATTTCAGGTTCTTACAGTGGTGCCTATGAAGACCTCTGTCTTCTGTGATATAACACCATGTAGTCCAGTGAAAGTCAGTCAATGTTCTTTCAAAACACTGGCTGACTTTCACTAGACTAAACAGTGTTATATACCAGATGACAGACTTATTAAAATGTAATGTAACACAATCTGAATTTAAGCAGCAAGTTCTTCCTTACTAAAATACACTGAAATAATAAGAGAAAATGACTAAAATGCAATCTGACTGTACAACCATCTATGCACAAGTCTTGCATGCTAAGCCATATGCAAAATTACATTTCATTGTTGCATTCGAAGCTTGCAATATCTAAAGAAGATGTTAAAAACACAAAATGTGTAAGATTCGAAGTCTGCAATAGGAAATTTGGCTTTGGTAGTTCTGTCCAGAACTCCACATTTTGCTCTTCAATGCTGCCTTAGAACATGACATTAAGAAGCACTAAAAGCAGAAAGAAATGAACCTAAATAAGACATATCAACTTCTGGTCTATACTGATAATCCATACATATATAAGAGGCCAGCACCTGCTATTCTGTCATGTGTGTTCATAATGTACATTAGCAGCTGGTATAGGATGTAATTACAAACAGAAGCAGAAGATGACAGCAATAAACATCAGTGGATGACATCCTTGTGTCAGTATTGCAGTGTCCACCTCTGTCAAAGTTCACTATATCCCTCTAGACAGAAGCACCATATAATGCATAATTTTATTCTAACAAGTTTTGTATCTTGCTTTAAATGAAGCTGTATTTCCAGAAAGCACACATGTTAAGTGAAACTGTCATTTCAAGTGATCCTCAAGTTTTTTTTGGTAGGTCATTACATTACTTACATGGAAAATAGACACCACAGAATTTTATACCATCTTCCTCTGATTAAAGTATATCCAATACATCAAAAAATATGCAATTTCAGAGTGAAACTTGGATTACCAAAATGCTTTACTACGAATAAGTATTCTTGAAAAAGTCTTTTTACGGCCAAAGAAATGTTACATATGCAAAAAAAAAAGTTTTTCAACAGATTATCTGCTCTAAATTTAGTAGTGATACTGATAACCACAAAAATCTCCTTCTCAAATGTCAATGGGTTTTATCACAGCGTTAACTTACTGGGTGAGAAAGCGGCCTCCGTAGTCTAGCGGTAACGTTCCCACCTCATGACTCGTAGTATGCAGGTTCAAATACCCGGCGGAGGTCGTCGAATTTTTAAGGGCGGAAAAATTCAGGGAACAAGTCCTCCGGGAGGGACTTTAAGCCGTGGGTCCCGTGTCGTAGCTTTACGGCACGCAAAAGAACCTCATATCTCCAAAGGAGGTCACTGAGCCAAATTACAGACGTTTCCCGCCCAACAGCAGTCTCTAATACCTCTGGTAGATGGGGGAAGCATTAGAGATACCTCTCAGCTAGTAGAGCCGGTCTCGCTGGCTGGGCGGGACTGATGGTAAGCACCAGTACCGGTAGGATATAGAGACTGGTAGAAATCATAGAGGGAAGCACAATGGACCAATACAGGTCTAAGTGCATGGGGAAACCCACCCTCCCCAATAAATAACTAACTAACTAACTACTGGGTGAGAATATAACATTCTAGAGAAAAGAAAAATGCCCTATAGTCCGTAGAACAAAAGTTGGTCTGGAAGTTAATGCAGACAACCATGAAGCTATGCCTCTTACATAGTAACGTTCCCTAGACATTCACTGGCACAGTCAAACTTTCATTACATTCAATAAAAAATGTGACACTTGTGACTACTTAAAGAACTTGTAATTTTATAGTTATTATTTGCTAAATTTAAATTCCCTGCCAAAAATGATCCTGTACCAGATTTGGGACAGGATTTAAATGCCCCCTGTTGAAGAATTACTTAACTGTAATTAAACACAATGAATAGCATCTTTTTGAGCCAGAGACCTGTTTTGGATGACTAGATATAATCTTCATGGGAACCATGTACCTGTGACCTCACTCAAAGATCAGATTGGTGCAACAACACTGTATCTGTGGTAACACATTCCATCACTGTCAGATCATATGTAATGACACATCAGTGGGTGCCCAACCTCAAAGCCTTTGGATTGTTTGCTAGATAGAAGAATTTCTGAAATTATTTCTCAAATAATCACCTGGGACTTGTGGCCATGTCATGGTATTCTTTCACAGTCATTGCCTTTTTCTGTACATTAATTTGAGTGTACAATCCTGGTTTTCCATCTACAACCTGACAGATAGGAGCTGGTATGTTGATGTTGATGTCATCCACATCATATCCAGCTTTGCGTGGTTTCCATTCAGGAGGTGGGATCACCTGGGAAAGAAAACGTTATTAGAAAAATAGCAACCAAACTGCAAATATTATAAAAAAAAACTTGCCTTTATCCTGTAATTCAATGTGATTTTTTGGACAATTTTCTGCATACAGTAAATGCATTTAATGTATGTAAAAAGACATTTTAAGAGCCATTTCCAATACAGTTTCATCCATATAATAAGAAAGCTAAAAATGCAACCTACACAACGGTACTAATATAAGAGAACATACCATAGTTAGAAAAATTTACCCACAGACTAATGAACTCATATGAAATCCATATGAACTCAAGAAGTGCTCTGGTGGCGGCAGCGGTGCCGGGGGGGTAGGGGTGGTAGCAATGACGATGGTTATGAGTTTCAGACCAGATTAAGCCATAGAAACTTACCACGATATACTGTGTGTGTGCATGTACATGCGTGTGCGTGCGTGCGCACACATATTACAATGACAAGAAATCATTCCTATTAAAATATTCCTGATATAATGAACAGTACTTTTCATTAACCCACAACTTCTTCAAATCATATGCAACAATATTAATTAAATTTTACTGATTTAAAAACATTTACATGAATGAAACTTATACCTACAACAAATAGCATTGAAGTTAACAAAAGGAACAATGAATTCAATTACACTTTTTAAAACTCAAATATGTCATGGATGGAAAAGTGCAGCTGCAAATTTAGCTACATGCTACTGAGGCAAGCGGACTGCTGCTGAGCATGTTGACTATCTCCTCTATTTCTGTGGTCTTATTCCTTGTCATGGACACCTGTTTAAACCACCACTGACTAGCAATGGCTCCAAAATAGTTTAACAAGAGAAGCTGTCCATTGCTTGGTAACAACTTCATAAACAAGTGACACGTCACTTGGCAACACCATGCCAACACACCAGGAATAATGAAGGGCCTACTGGCAATGGTGTTTTCTACACAATCCAACCCAAGGCTATATACAAAGGATGAGCAAGACCAACTAATAACTGAGTTTAACTGAGGATGAGAGCTGAGCCATTACTAAGCGACTACTAAAAACATAGCACTTGCAGTACTGATTTATAGTGTGTGTAGATTAGTGAAAGTGTTATAAATTCAGTCAGCCAGTAAGTCAACTACACCAGGTCTTGACTGGATTTAGTGATCTGAATGAAGAGTGTGTCAGACAGAGTGATTTTTACAGACTTCATTTTACATAGTGTGTTCATAACCAACTCCCATTAGGCAAAGGTGTTATAGGTGAAGTTTGCTGCCCAGCCATGGTTGTGGGCAGTGCTGTGTGAAACAACAAAACAGGGGGTGAACTTAAGTGTAAATCAGGATGATGGATGAGATTCCAGAAATAATGGATGCATTGCTGAAATCTGATCTGACCAATTTTCAGTGTCCCTTACAGCATGTACACAGTAATACAGAATGAACTGAAGGCAGTCCTTAAAAGATGAGTGCAAAGGTAAAACAAAGTGGTGCAATAAAAAACCTAAGTGGAATCAACAACTCAGGAAGTAGAAACAAGCAAGAGGCATATGTGGTATGACAACAAAGTTTGCGAACTCATCACAGTAAAATTGCTATGTATCTCACTGCTGAATATCACTGTGGTCACCTTCAAAGTACTCTCCTTGGGAAGCTATGCACCAATGCCAGGGACTAGTCCAACCTTCAAAACAATTTTGGAACTGGTTTTTAGAAATGTCCTTCAGAGCTGCTGTTATATTACTCATGTCATCGTCATCAAAAGCCTCTTGCTGTCACGAGAGACGAACTGACAGAGCATCATATCGTACCTCAACCTATCCGCTGTAGTGCACTGCTTCGACGCTTAGCAGCAAGTCCACGAACTTATTGACTACGGTAGTATAAAACTTTTTGTGCACTGCAGTATAGTGATCTGTATAGTATGTAGATATGTAAGAGTGTTATAATTAGTTGTAGTTGCAACAGCCCAGCAAATTTAATTAAATTATAAACTCCATGTCTAGTCACTAACATGGGACAATACTTATTTCATGTATGTAGTTTATTTAAAAGCACTGTAACTCAGACTATACTTTACTGAATTATCAGATGACAGAGAATAACAAACTGGAAAGCATGTGGAAGGAAGTAGTCTCCAACTAAGTTAACGTGATATCCTGACACTTGCCTGGAGGAAATCAGGAAACCCATGAAAAACATGTCATGATAGTATCCCAATTTAACCTGTGCACCTCTCAAACACAGGCCACAAAAATACTACTTGGACCAACTTACACCTATTATAAACTGTACACTGTTCAAATTGCTTTCACTTAATGTCACATATCTGAAGTATACCTCCTACAAAGACAGTCAGCAAAATTGCTACCAGGTGACTAAGATCCACTTACCACACAATGATTTCAATACAAAACATACATTACTCACCTTGGCCAAACCAGCTTTGTGTGCTCCAACTGATTCCATATAATCAATATACTTGGAAAAATCTTTAAATTCTTCATATGTGGGACGAAATACCATAATCTTCGGCCCTCCTGGCCCACAATTACCATCACTGTCCATTGCTGTGAATGGCTAGAAAGAAAAACAACAAACCACATAAAATACTGCACTGTAAACTATCAAACTCCAATTTTAATGGTTGATAAATAACATACACATCTTCTGTTATATTTTAGCGTCCTGTTGCACTGATTTAAGTCCA